GGTATGGGTAGATGTGTATTTGGTGGGTTTCACTTGTGCCGGGCAGGCAATTGGGATATATGCAGGGGTGTAAAACGGGCCCGTTGATATCGGAAAAGTCTAACAGAATATTGAAGGTGGCTGGAAATCAATATGTGACTTCTTCGTATTCCAGCTGGTTTCACTGCTGAATGACATCATACGCGTTGATCTTCTAAGACCAAGAAGGGCGTCAAAGTAAATCTTACCCGTAGGAACAGTTCCCTCCAAGCTGTGCGGTTGCCTGACATCCCTGGACTGGTAGTGACTCACACGTCCCTTAGATGATGCTCGGTGACAGAAATAGGAGTCGTGTGAGAGAATAGGGGCCAAGGGGCAATACGCCTTTTTAAGACTTGGCCTGTTGGGGCTTTTTGAAATAATACTCTCTTATGAACGACATTTTCAGGTTCAGCTGCATATCTAATTTTAACCGTTAGGAAAGGTTTGTGGTTTAATCGTCTAAATCCCCAGGTATGGCAGAAGTCCCCAAGAAAAAAGAATACTAAATGGGACAGACAAGCAGATTGCAACATTAAGAAGTAGCAAAATAACGACAACTCCTCTAACGCACAATGAAAACATGGATATAAATAGAAATACGAGAAACAGCCAAAGGGTAATAATTCCCCGGCATAGAGTGCACTCTGCGCCCTCCGTGAAGTATGTATGGTAAAAAGAGAGTACCATAAAGAGAAAATTAGTCAACATGGATATTACGGGACACCAAGAGATACGTATAATCAACAATTCCACGCCTCTGCTGGCCAAAGCTGAAGAGCAAAAGCGGCCGAAGAATTGCGGGGAGGGGAAAGAAACAAATCTGTTCAAGTCATCAACAAAAACACCAACCCTAGGTCGTCTCACTCACACCACCACCATCCTGCCTCTCATCTTCATCTCGATATGGCTCCTCACCCGAACCACTCTCACTCTCCCCATCGCTCAATAGCTCCTCATCACTCCCCCCCGCAAACGCATCATACAACTCTCCGCCCTTCCTTCGCTGCTTCCGCCCAGTTCTAGCGCCAGCAACATGCCCGCCCGTACTAAGCGGAGCCGTTTCGTCGCTCTCATCGTCAATCATCTCAAACTCGTAGTCATCGTGTAGATTGCTGCGGATGCGCTTCCGCCGCTGGATGAGGAAGTATGTACCCAGCGTGGAACAGAAGATGAGAATAAGCGTGAGGGAGCCGTAGATCCAGACCTGCGTACGCTTGGAGACGCCGAAGGTGGGGAAGAAGGAGGGGAGGAAACTGTCGGATGTTGAAGTGGGTGTTGGTTGTGATGATGCTGATGGTTGAGAAGGGCTTTGTGTTCCAGTGGGTTTAGTGTTGACGGGGCGATCGATGTGGTCTGTTGGGACGACGGAGGCGGTGGGCTTCGAAGAGGTTGCGCTGGAGATAATCGTTGTGGTGGCTACGGGTGCAAGTTCGGTGTTGTGATCGTGGTCATGTTCGTCTGGTAGAGGATGGAGGCCTTGGATATCTGCGTCGATGGCTTCGCCCCACAGGCTGAGTTGCCAGTCGATGAACACACCCTTGAAATCATTGACGATTGTGTCCTTGACGATGACGGTCCATTTGCCGATGCCGGATTCACCCCTGAGTTTTGTTGACTGTCGTTAGATTTTCATGTTCAATGCTTCTGGTTTGGGGTTGGATAGCAGGAGTGGGGGGGCTTTTGTTGGCACTTACCAATGAACGAGCGACATAAAAGTCCAATCAACGTAGCCAGCGCGGAGGTCATCCAATTTCCTCGTCGTACTTAGATAGCTGACGGCTCCAGTGGGACTGCGGAGTTCCACACTTAAATCACCACGGCGCGTGTGGTTGATATTCATCGTAAGCGTAACATGTTCAAGTCGCTCAACGTTATTCCTCACCAACAGCTCCTTAGTGACTTCAAAGCTACTAGCAAGTCCCTTGTCTCCCTGCGGGATATCGGCATAAACTTGCAACCACGGGGAGTGTAGCCAAGCTTGTGGTTTGACCAATTTCCACGTCATGGCTAGATGGACAGCAGAATAAGCGTCTACTTTCCCGTATCCGTAATCGTGACTGAATTTCTTCCCAGTAGCAGTATCCTGCCAATAGCTTTCATTTAAATTGACGGGGATCGCCGTCTCCAATAGAATATATTGCACGTCACGCCAGGTCAGCTCCGGGCGGACGCTCAGCGCAAGTGCCACAACCCCAACGACCAACGGTCCAGCTGCAGACGTACCACCATGTTTCGTAGTGCAAGTATTCACACCAACGTCGGTGGTGTGTATAGCATTCCCCCCTCCGCTGCTATACGTCACCACGAGTTGCGCAGAGCACGGCTCAGAATAATATGGGTGCTTGTCATTGTGATCAATTGCACCCACAGTGACACTGTAAATGCTGTTCGTGTAGCCATCAAAGTTGCAGTTATCTTCATGTAGAGCGCCGTTGCCGGCGGCGAAAACATACACGGAGCCTTTCCCACCGCGTCCCTTTTGTATTCCATTGACAATAGCCCGTTGGACGAGAATACCAGGCGCATCCATGGTGGTGCCATCATCTACAGGCCCCCAGGAACAGGAGTAGACCTGATTATCTTGGTATTTGTAGTTGATCGAAGCGGCCTCATCCTCGTCCGACACGGGTTTGGACAGGATACGTATTCCAGCAACCTTGCTGTCGTAGGCGACGCCAACGCCGCAAACATCGTTGCGGACACCAGCGACTTCTCCGGCGCATCGAGTACCATGCTTATCGTCATATAATCGGGGTCTGGGCTCGTCCACATCGTCGTTGTAATCATAAGACCCTTCTGCGAAGTAGTTATTTTTAAGATCATTGCTGTACATGTCCAATCCATCATCCACAATGGCAGAAATTGCCCCATTTCCAGTTATGCCCTCCATCCACAGACCAGTGACATTGAGGTCATGACCTGGTTGTTTGACGTTAAACAGGTGCCACTGTTGTGTGAATATCGGATCGTTGATTTCCAACTCGGATACAATCTCATTCAATTTTCGCGTAGCGTTATAGTCGCGGTCCTGATCGTCTTGCGGCTTCGATTGGCGTACCTTCGCTTGGGGCGGTGGGGGAAGTGGAGGCGCTCGTTTGCTCATGGGTGGTCTCAGGGTCAGCTTCTGCGACCATAGGATGCCGTCTAGGGCATCCCCTACGGCTAGGTCTTCGACGTTCGGCAAACTCCGCCTCCTCCGCCTCCTTCGCCTCCTTTGCCTCAGATCTTCTAGTGTTCGATCAACAGATACCCCTAGCTCCTTTGATATGGAAAATGTATGGTGGTCTGCTAATTCACCGACTTGTCCTTCATATTGTGCTCCTAACATCTGTGCAACCTGAACGGGAGATACGGAGGGATCGAGATGGATGGCGAAGTAATCGTAGGCATCGTGGTTACGGAGGGATACGGATGCGCGTGCTGGGTTGACCAAAAATAAGGCTACAGCAACCGCAACACTCAGAAGTTTCATGTTGCCTCCGTTCTTGCTGTCGTTTTCGAGTATGAGGTGGAGGAGAAATGATGTCAGACAACACCGGCCAACCACCTGTCGTCGAGAAGATATAACGGACGCGAAATGTTGTTTGCCATGAACGACTATTGCATATCCGATTCCAGACGTCTGAGACAATGTTAAACGACCTGTTATACATATGGTGCCAGGAAGACGGGGGAGCGCGCGTTGTCCGAGGAGAATGAAACAAAAGGTGGATGATCTACCTGGCTACGTACTTGATCTGTCGGGCGTTCCGCAGCGATGAGAAAGAGTTACGACTGATTTATCAGAGTCGCCCAAGACCTCTCTGTCATGAAGCTCGAGGTCGTAGCGGGTGAGCGGTGTTTATTTAGGATAAGCCGACTATGGCGAAAGGAACAGGACGAGGAGAAAGTTGAGGAAAATGAAGAGGTGTATGGAGAACCAACCGCCGAAAACAATATTTCAGGCCGTGGCTGTGGCGTTTTGGGGGTGTTATCCTCTAGAGCCAGGGGGCAAACTTTGCCGAATTCTGAGGCATTTTAGATCTTCGCCAATCATATGTAGTATATTCTCTTCTTCTTCTTCTTCTTCTTCTTCCCCCTATTTTTTTTTTTTTTTTTTTTTTTTTTTTTTTTTTTTTTTTCCCTTCTTTGGTTTTTCTTCTCACAATACTTTAGGCTTTGGTTGTGGAAATATCATTACATACTAAACAGGCCGTCAGTGAATGCCTCCAGATCCGACCTGTGGAACAGAGTGTCTAAGAAAATTGCCGGGCTACGACATGCCTATACGGGATCCGCATATGTTGCTAACCACCGCTTCATTCAACAGTTAAGCTGGAAGCCTAGGCAACTTGACAGATTTTCTTCCTGAGGATATGTGCCTCCAAATCCAACCTACCATGCTTGTATGCACCCACAACCGCCAACCATGGTACCAGTTGTGAAGTCAATCCGGACATCAAGATCTATAGATCAGGATTAGGTGTTTGGTTGTAAATACTAGTTACCTTGGAATCTAATACCCCTTAAAGAACATAAAATAATCCTGGACAAAGGATGTCCCTATCAATTCTTCCTCATATTTCTTCAACCCTCCCATATTAGTTAATATAGAAGCCTCTACAATCGCCCAAACCCATCACACATAATTTTGACGTCATGAAGTTTTTTTTTTTTTTGGGTCAAAGATCTTCCTGAATTGCCGAGCCCCGTCCGGATGATATTGTCATCAATGCACGAGAGTCTGCTGCTCATCGATGAGTGATGTTAGTGATGCTGTTGAAATCGTGCGTCTATCTCTTTGAGAGATTGACAATAGATCTCTGAGTGTCTCACCCAGCGGGCCATGTAAGCCATTGTTGGTTCACCCATGGCCGTTCGAGCGTCGTTAAGGCGTCCAAATACCCGACGACTCGGAGATTTTGTTGAAGCTGATATATCAAGATCAACGAGACTCTTCAGATGGTATAAACACTCGGGAATGGTGCAATAACTAGCTATTAATTATTTCGCCTACGATGTCATGCAACCGACTTCCGGGGATTCCTGTAAGGACTCCATTGGGGCGTTTGCTGACGCTACGGCGTCATTGGCCTTGCCAGCCACCCCAGAGAGCGGTCCCTGTTTGCGGCACGCAAGCCAAAGAAAAGAAGTTAAATGCAAATGGCTGGGCGAAATAGATTATTGAATTTTCTTAAATATCTCCGGGAGCCCTTTGCCAGCTCTGTCAATATAGCTCATAACTCTCATAACTGCCTGGTTCTCCGGACGGACTGACAATCCCCGCAGCCTTTTAGAAGATTTTCATTTTTCTTCTCTTCCGGAGCTATCTACTTCTCTTCCATTCTTTTCCCTGTCATTCTGGCTTCTGTTTTGTATCATCCTCGCCCGTTGTTCTGGGCGAAGTGAATCAGCATTCACATTTCAGCTTTCCTGACTGGAGCGAATTGTCTGGCACCAACTGGTCAGTTCCACCAGCCAACGCTTCCGTCATAGGAGCTGATTGCGTTGCTTCTGCTTCGACTCTGCTGATTCACCACCCACCCAGCCTCCTCCGACGCTACAATTTTTTTTTTTTTTTTTCTTTCTTTCTTTCTTTGTAAATGTTTCTGATGAATTTCCCCGTCGTTTATCGTCGCCTGAGCATGCTTCTCATGTCTACTCCTCTATCCTCCTCCCTACTCTAAATACCCTAGGTGCCCTGTCGGATTATAGCGGACATACTGTGCAACATCTTAGAGAAATGCACAGTTGCAGCTTTCCCTCATAACTGCATTAGCCCCAGTGCTAGATATATTCTGAACGCAATCTACTCAGGCTTAGTGCAGAGACCAATTGGATGCGTTCAGTCTGCACAGAGTTGAATGCTCTGGTGGGGGTTTGAGTAGACAGAAATGGCGACGATTTCATCCTCCCGCAGGCAGTCTGTGCCAGTGTCAAAGCAAACTTATTATTCCAACCAGCAGCAGCCCATCAACGGTGTGGAGGACAATGCTCCATTAACAAATAGACGACACTCCGCCAAACGGGCTACCTCCCTCAGCTATTCCAACCACTCTCCTGTCCTTCCTGCAGCCTCAGAGGCTTCCCGTGGGCCTTCCGCTTCGTACAAACTCCCTTATGGTGGCGTAGGGCCGTCGCGTCGGTTTGGGGACGAGCCGAAGCCTTTCTCTGTGCGGGCCAGAGAATTACCAGCAGAAACGGCTCTGGATGGGTTAGATAGACTTTCTCCTGCAAATAGCGCCCCCCGGGTGGACTCCCAAAGGCAGTTGCATGAAGTCGGGTCTTCGAACAGGTTATCTCCCCAGATAGACATGCAAAATGTGACTATCCGCAAGCCGAGAAACCCCAATCGGGCAAGCTTACCTCCTCTTGATCCCGTCCCACCACCCCAATCCGATTCGCCAGTGTCACCTGGTGCAAGAAGAGTTTCGGAAAGCCAAAAAAAGCTTTCAAAACCACGACGTGATTGGGCTCCGGAAAAGTCTCCTCTACAAAAGCTAGAATTCACCCTGAAAGATATCAGCAAGGAAGAGAAACGTGCCAGGGTGGAAGAAGCTGAGATGCTCTTGAGAGAAGCAAAAGCCGGTCGTCGAAGTCGTCAGATGAGCCGTGATATCACCCCGACGTCGCAGCCTAGCGCAACTCGCGGACCGAAAACTGGTGCAGAACCCTCAAGTGTTCTCGACGAAGCAGGTTTGGTCCGGAGTCTGAGCAACAAGCAACGTGATAGATTGCGGCATAGTGCCGTCATAGAATCAACAGAGGCTGATGCTAAACGTTTCTCGAAAGATGGCCGTGGGGGATTCGAGTACGAAGAGCAAATACCTAACGATATTCGACAACCACCAGCCCAGGAAGAGCCAGTTCTGAGTGAACAAATTGATGCTCCAAGGAACATGGGGCGGCAACGGGGTTGGGAACTCAGTGACACAACAACGCAGACCGCTGATCAAAGAACGAACGATGCGGCAACCTTACAGAAAGCTCACGCGCCGTACAATCGCATCCCCGATGATCTGGAAGATTCGAACCCCCATGCACAAAATAAAGAGCTTGGTCGGCCTGCCAACTTAGAAGATGTACAATGCTCCAATAGCCGGAAGCTACAAAAGCCATTACCAAAGATTCTTAACTCTCAATTTCTGGCAGACCATCGCGAGAGACAGAAAACATTCCCACTTCCCGTCTCGTCAGATTCGGTGGCCCACGATGCTCGACAACCTACTAATCGTAACAATGCGTCAACTAGCAAGAACACACTGGAAAATCCACCCGTGGGACTTGGACTGAGCAATACTACACCTCCTCAAGCCACCTTATCTGGAACTCCGCAGCAGACCAGAAATAGCAAGGCAAAACAACACAGTGTATCCTTTGCTGTACCTCCTCCAACACCACCCCCTCTGTCAGAGTGGAAAACTGCGGCTATAGGGAGATTGCGTTCAGCTGACTTTGACCTTCGCGAACTTCGAAATGCTGAGCTTGACAAAGCGTGGTGGGAAGGTGGTGGATCGGCAAGGAAAAGTAGGAGCAATGGAGTTGCTTATGAGCAACATCCGCCATCGAAAACGAAACCCAAAAGTAAGTTCTGAATGCCCTTTTGTTTCCATCGCATAGTGTGTATGGCATGTTGAGGATAATTATTTCGCCACAGCATTTTAAGTGGCTTCTAGGAAGGCTAATCATGCTTTTCATTTTTAGATAATACACCATTTAATCCGCCATTATATCTCGAATGTGGGCCTCTCCTCAGATATACAGGTATGAAATGGGAACAGAAGGATGGGCTGCATGGCCCTATTGAGCAAGCAATATGGAGAGGGAGCATTATGATAGTCACCAAGGATTCTGCGTCGTCTTATCAGGAACCTCCAACACTCCGCTTGTTCTCCCAGCCAATGGATCTACTTCCACCCCCACCAACTGAAATCAACAACGAGACCGGCGAACTTGCCCCAGAGTATGTGGATCCAATCTCTGGCCTCACCAAACTTGGACGAAACGGCAAGTTACTCTATGTCAAGCCCGTCGATCATCTTGAGGAAGGCAGGGACCTCTCCTTTATCGACAACGACGACGGGCTCTTCGAAACTTCTCCCAGCCCTCTAGAGTACAGCGCAAGCAACCAAGTTTCTCCACCGACCACTCGCATTAGAGAGAAAGATGGGGAATCTGTCGGTAAATACAGAGAAGTTAAAGGAGTCCGCCTCTATACGGATTCAGCAAGGGACGTAACTTTTTGGCGATTCAGTCTTGAGATTGAGTTGGGCGATAGACAACAGAGAATTGCCTATCGAATCAACCAGGGTTCTGCGATTGGTTTCTGGGTCCCCGCCAAGGGCCAGTCGATGAACATTATGTTCCACAGTGGGAACGGGTTCAGTGGATCTGCGGATCGTGACAAGTTCAGTGGCCCTGATCCTCTATGGCGGGATGTTCTGAATACTCACCAAACGCGCCCGTTCCATGTTATGGTGGGAGGAGGAGACCAGATATTCAACGACACAGCCATTTTCGACACAGAGCATTTCCGGTGCTGGATGGAGCTGAGAATCCCCTATCAAGAGCGACATCATCCCTTCAACCTAGACATTAAATCCGAGTTGGAGAATTTCTATCTCCAGCAGTACCTGAAATGGTTCTCCCATGGCCTGTTCAGCATGGCCAATTCTCAAATACCCATGGTTAACATGTGGAATGACCATGATATTATTCCCGGCTATGGCTCTTATCTGCACCAACTCATGAGAACGCCGGTAATGTCTGGGATTGGTAATCTGGCGTTCAAATATTATATGCTCTTTCAGCATCAGAGCGTTCCCGAAGAGACGGACTTGGACGAACCAAGCTGGTTACTCGGAGCTAATCGTGGTACCTATATCAGTCAACGGAGTAGGAGTGTTTTTATGAAAATGGGCAAACGTGTAGCATTTTTGGCAGTTGATTGTCAAACTGAGCGAACGGTAGGAGAAAAACCCTTCCCACACTGTTGTTGCTGGTAATATCGCGAATTTACACCTCCTATTTCTTACTGATATCGATATATATAGAGAGATGATGTACTTAACGATGATTCGTCTGACCTGATCTTCAACCGTTGTCATGACGAAATTGTCAAGGGAGAAACAAAGCATTTGATTGTGCTTTTAAGCGTGCCTATTGCTTATCCAAGATTTGTATGTAGATTCCTTTTGAACAGCCTTTGGTAATAATTGAGCTACTGCTAACAAACTTCTAGGTGTGGCTTGAAAATGTTCTGAGCAGCCGGGCAAGCTATCCTGTAAAAGCACTTGGGCGGGCAGGCTTGTTTGGAATTTTGAGAGAAAAGTTTGACGTGAGCATGGAAACGATTGATAGCCAATGGGCCTCTAAAGCACATAAGCTCGAGCGCCACTGGCTCATCGAAGACTTGCAGGAACTCGCCGCAGAGAAATCTGTCAGAATAACTATACTAGGGTATGCTGATATGTCCATCAAACTTGATTGCTACATATGCCAGGCTAACGATCCATCGCAGAGGCGATGCCCGGGTTGCAGCAATCGGACAATTCTACTCTAACCCAAAGTTACAGATCGCCAAAGATAATGACTACAGATACATGCCTAATGTGATATCATCATCAATCGTCAATGTCCCTGCGTCGGAAATGATGGCAGATGCGCTCGACAAACGGAATAAACTCCATTTCTTTGATACGAAAACTGTCGAGGACATGCGAGCAATTTTTACTCATGACGTTGACGGGAAGCCACGAAATAACAAACGTCTTCTTCCTAGACGGAACTGGTGCTCTATTCTGGAATATGCTCCTGGTGAGAGTCTCCGAACAAATAGCTACATTGTAGTTAATCCTTCATGTGCTAAACAAGATGTTCCAGGCTCAACTCCGCCTCCGACGCCCACGGAATCGGATCCTCCCAGTCCAGCACAACATCCCACAAGAAAACTGATGAGATCCTTATCAATGTCTAGGGGCGATGGCAGACCCACAAACCTGCTGCGAAGGTTTTCTCAGAGTGGCCCAAAACCACCTACTAGAAGCAATTCGCTGCGCCTATCGGAAAAACGCCGCATGAGTTACGATGGGCTGCCCACGCCCACTTCACACGCACCGGCTAACTACTTCCCACCCCAACCCCAGAGACCGGTGACAGCTGGAAACCAACCACCAGCCAACGATCCATCGCTACCACCAAGCCCAGGTAATGTCCTCCGCCGCCGCACCGATCTAAGTGCCAAAGAAATAAGGCGGGAAGCAAAAGCAGGATCCCTCGCCCTACAAAACTTCATCAATCTCGACGGAGGTCTTGATATCACCTTGAACTGCGAAACGAACCCGCAGGACCCATCGGGCATTACGAATCCATACAGAATCCTCGTGCCTGCATTATGGTTTGATGGTGTCTTTGAGCGGAGCGAACCGCGGGAGAAGAATCGTTGGTGGAAGATTGGTGCGAGGAGGAGGAAGCAGCAGCAGCAGCAGCCGCAGGAGGAAGCGGTCCAGTCATCATCCGAGATGGGCCTAGGGCAGGAACACGAAATGAAACGAGGAGTCGAACATACTCAGGCTGGAGGTACGTTTAAAGGGCGATATGACGAAGGGGAGGTTGCGCGAAGTCCAAGTGATGATGAATATGATGAATACGATGATGATGTTGGCTTGCCTCCGCTGCCAGCCCCTCCGCCTCAGGGGCATGGACATGGATATGGTGGGGTGGACGCGTATAAACCGAAGAAGAAGTGGCTTGGGATCATTTAAGCATGTCATCCATAGGAATTTCGTTCCTCCTTTTTCTTCGATGTCTTTTGTTCGAAATTATTTGCTTTTCATGTTCGGCTGGCTTTTTTTTTTTTTTTTTTTGACATGATTGCATGTCTGCTTGCTTTTTCTTATTACCTTTCTTCGCATTTGTGCTTTTGTGTAACTTGCTGGATACCGTAACTATGATACAACTATGTTCTCTAATGTCTGCTCTTTTTTCAGTTACGATTTGAATAGTTATGCAAGCAAGAACAGGTTCACATAACTAACCGGTTGTTCTGTTCCGTCACTCATTGTTCTTTGTATAGTTGTGTGTGTGTAGGAAGATAAATGTTGTTCTTACATCTGTCATTAATCAGTTCTTTACCACGTACGGAGAGTTAATAAAGGAGCCCAACATAGAAAACTGATACTTTTGGTGCCCCAAAGTTTCTCTGCCTATTTAGCAAAATTTGTATAAAACGTCGACCCATTTTATTCCCACCGCGTCCATCAGTCATACTTAGATTCTCTTCAGCTGTTCCTCTCCGCATTGGTGCACCTCTCTCCTGTCGGGTGTCTGGTCCATTCATCGGCAATTGACCCCGAACCGATTCTTTTTCTCGAAAGCATCCAAACTTTCCAGGCCAAGGCAGACTCTGTTTTCGCTGTAATTAATTAACTAGTTATTTGAAATACCCAACCCGTTAACCTTCCAATCCCACCCCTACCCTACCATCAAGGATCTGTCTGCAAAAACAACCATAAAAAGCACAGAACACCCACCCAGCCCATCTCTCGTCCAAGGTTCACAAGATAATCGCCAAGCTGTTCTCCTCAATCTTTCGTCGCGCTCCTCTCTCCTCTCTCCGATCTAGCGTCGGCCTCTCTGTTGCTGCTGCGGCTTCGTTCCAAAATCGGTCCTCCCCCACCGGCACTGCTGTCCCCTTTCACCCCGCGACGCCCCTCAGCGTCAAGGCATCCCATATCTCCTCCAGGATGAAGCACTCAAAAGTCGTTGGTGAGTAATTCAATTATTATTCTGAGGTTTTCGCCTGCCTCTTTTACTTTTATTTTATCGAATGTCACCGAGTGATCTCCTTTAAATATCACTTATCAAACTAAAATGCGAAATATATATATAATTATATAGTTATTGGCTCCGGGCCCGCTGCGCACACAGCGGCCATTTATCTCTCCCGCGCTGAATTGAAACCCGTGCTCTATGAAGGAATGATGGCCAACGGCACTGCCGCAGGCGGCCAACTCACCACCACGACAGATGTCGAAAATTTCCCCGGCTTTCCGCATGGCATTGGCGGCTCCGAACTCATGGATAACATGCGCGCCCAGTCCGTCCGTTTTGGCACAGAGATCATCTCTGAAACCGTCTCTCGCGTCGACCTCTCCTGCCGCCCCTTCAAGTTATGGAAAGAATTCTCTGATGGGCCCGACGACGCGCCTGCACACACTGCAGATGCGCTAATTGTAGCCACGGGTGCCAATGCGCGCCGTCTCGATTTACCCGGTGAACAGCAGTATTGGCAGAATGGCATCAGTGCATGTGCTGTTTGTGATGGAGCCGTGCCTATTTTTCGGAACAAGCCGTTGTTTGTGATTGGCGGCGGAGATTCGGCGGCAGAGGAGGCCATGTTTCTTACAAAGTATGGTAGCAAAGTGACGGTGTTGGTGAGACGGGATAAACTGCGCGCGAGCAAGACGATGGCGAAAAGGTTGTTGGTCAATCCTAAGGTTGAGGTGAAGTTTAATACGGTTGCGGTGGAGGTGCAAGGGGAGCCCGCGCCAAGGGGGCTCGTGACACATTTGAAGATTAAGAATGTGGTGTCCGGAGTTGAGGAAGTTGTTCCAGCTAATGGCCTCTTCTATGCTGTGGGACATGATCCCGCGACAGCGTTGGTGAAGGGACAGGTCGAGACAGATGCGGAAGGTTATATTGTTACGAAGCCGGGGACGAGCTATACGAGTGTTCCTGGCGTGTTTGCTGCTGGCGATGTGCAGGATAGGAGATATAGGCAAGCTATTACAAGTGCCGGTGCGTGCTAGCCCCTTTTATTTCATGTCTCGTTTGTATTTTGGATTTTCTTGTTTGACGGATTGATTAACGAACTACTACTACGTGACTTGCAGGATCTGGTTGCATCGCTGCGCTCGAAGCTGAAAAGTACATTGCAGAGTCGGAAGGGGGAGATGAACCTCCTTTCGTTGCCACATCCATTGAACAATCTAACCAAGGGGAGAATGCTCCTCCGACATTGGAGTATACGTCCAATCCCCTACTGTAATATAACAATTTCAGGGAGATTGTTGGATTTAAGTTTCGAGTTCAGGAGACGGAAGGAAAAAAAGAATTATTATTGATTCTAGGATATTTCCGTATTAGATATTATATAACTGTCTTCCCCCTCCCCCCTCCCTTTGCGCATTGGATGAATGGATAAGATTTGTTCTGGTTAAATCATTGGACCAGGAAAATACCCGTATTATTACTGTCGAATGGATCTCAACAATCCATTTTGAGCGGAGTAAGGCTAGTCGAACTTTAGGACCATACCATGCCGAGATCTGGAGAGTGTTTTTTAAGAGTTTTTCGATTGCATGATAATTTCATTACTTGCTTCACAATATGTGCTGCAGAAGCGAAAATAGAGAGAGGTACACATAAAATACATAGAGTACAAACGTACAGATTTTAAATAGGCAGCAAAGAAAAGCTAGAAGGAAGATCCTGAGATATGGGGAAGAGGAATCAGTGCATTATAGAGGGAAATTGAAAGAGATCCTCTAACCTCACTCCGTTCAATCCTCCCGAGGTAAGATATGGAAGGAATTTCCCCTTTTGAAAAAAAGAAATGACTGAAGACATAATGCACCAGACTCTCCCATTCACGCACCGCCCAATGGACACCTTGACCTATTGGGTTTCCCTAACCCATGCAAATCAACTTTTAAAACCACAGTTGCAAGCGAAGACTCGCAAAACGCATCTAGAGAAACTAAAATAAACCCGTATTTGCAAGAAAGGAACGCAACTCTCCAGAGCTGACCGATTCAAACTACCCATCCGGGAAACTTTTCGTTATTATTATCAGAAAAGGGACAAGGGGAAGAAGGGGGGGGGAAGGGGAAGAAAAGAAAACCGGCTATAAGGCACTCAATGAATCTGCCTTGTCTTCCTGCCCACTTTAAAAAATATGTCTTCATCTGTATTCTCGTCCTGGCCACCAATTCCTTCCAAATTCTTCTTGGTAGCTTGAACCTCAAACGCATCAAACGGATTCGCCGCGCACCAGCGATCCTTAACCTCGTACGTCCTTCGTTCCCACTCCACAATCCTCTCCTTCCATTTCTCCAAAGACTCATCATTTTCACGACGATGTTCGCCAATCTGGTCAATGTATGGTTGTCGGATATCTCCAGGAGCATCACGCCACATCTGGCCCAGTGCCTGGCGGATCTCCTCCCGGGGAGCTTTGGCGTTGGCATTTCCTGTGCTTGCGCGTCGCGCCTCGTTGCATTTCGTTTTGCAAATGTGCCAATAGTCCTTCTGGTAGAGCAAGAATGGATTCAGGGGCTTCTTGGCTGGTCGTGGTTCAGCCGGGCCAAGTTCCTTGATGATTGCGTCCCACATTGCTTTGTCGTAAGCTTCACGAACGGAGGATGCGGATGGGAAAGAATTGTTTGATCGGGGGGGAGCGGCTGGTTTTTCTGCTGGGGATTCTGGAAGTAATGCTTTTCGTTTTCGTCCGTTGACTGTGCTGCCGTTGATAGAGGTGCTGTCCATGGCTGTGAGGGGAGCGTTGTTTGTTTTTTTGCATTTGGCGAGAACCAGCGGCTTGGGAAAAGTAATGGGTCCAATGATGGATTCAAGTATTTCGGATGCTGCACGTAGCCCGGAGAGATATGCTCCATGCACGGTGGCCGGATGAGTACCGCATGTAGCCTCACCAGCGAAGTATAGATTTCCAATTGGCTTGGCCATAAGGTCATAATCGCCAGGCAGTGCTTCGGTGCCAACGTAGGAATAGCTGCCATTGGCGAACTTATCCTTGCCCCAGCGTGTGATAATAGTCTCCAAGGGATCTGGTACAGCAACCTCCTTGAAAATATTACGAAGTTGTGATGTGACTTCACCCAGAATTTCAGTGTCGGTCATCGCTTCAGCTTGGTGTGCGGCATCGCCAGCCATTAGCGCGATCAGCACCGGTAATCCAGTGGTCTTGATGCAGTTCCAGAACAGATAAAATCTGCCACGATTTCGGCTGTAATCCGCTTGGGACAAGCTGTTTTGTACCGTTGGTTCTCGAAGGAGACCAAACATATCCCTCTCTACGTCCCAAAACGGCTTCTCAAACACGAGGATAACCTTGTTCATGGTCCCAAAACCAAGTCTGTTAACAGCACCGGTTTTCCATTGGGGAAGAGGTGGCTCAAATTTGATAAACTCCTTTTTGAGAACGCCCAGGGGAGCGGTGAAGACAATTTTATCTGCGTGGATTATTTCACCATCCTCACAATGGACGGCGGTTTTATGACTCGAGGCTCCTCGCGGATCGTAAGTTATCTTCGTCACGCACTTATTGGTTCGAACATCAAGCTTATCCGGCAAATTCCAAAGCCCCCTCGGAACTTGTTGGTAGCCCCCAACAACCTGCGCATGTTCGCCTTCAAACTCACTACCCATATCCTGATCCCAACCTGACAAGCTGAGCTTGCCAACGTTGGCGGCATTAGCATATTCGAGATTAGCGAAATGCCAATTTAACAACCTCATATCCCTGGGTGTCAGCGGCAAGAGCTTTTGGTATTGCCTTATGCCATCGTCCATGACTGCGCCCAACGATTGGGTTTTTGTTTTTGCTGCAATCCCATTTAAAAATATGGAATCATGGCTCGTAACACCATTTCTTAACTTCCATCCCATTGCCTGACATGCGACAGCCGCTGAGTGGTTATTGGTTGCCCCAAGGTCTGATAGCAGAACACCAGAGGAAGTTTTA